GCCAGTCATCTTGTTAAAACTTAAAAGATTGATTTTTTAGGTTCTGACTTGATTTCGCAAAATTTAAGATGATCAATCACCTCATCAGTAATTAATTATCTGCTATGGTTATGTCTCAATCCTATACGACTAGAAGCGGTAAAACTTTCTTGAGTTCTTCTAACTAATTAATATAAAAAGGTAACTAGGTCTCAGATTAAATAAATTCAATTTTCTTTTACTACTTTATGAATGTGAAGAGCTTCCTTGCCCGCTCTTCTTTTTATTTTTTTATTTTTACCTACATAATTGAGAGGCAACCCTCCATTGAAACCTTTTATTCCATTAAGAAGAGATATTATGATTAGACCATTTACCTCGTTGACTCCTTGGCCAAAAATAACCTTGTTGTTGGTTTTTTTTTTTTTTTAATTATGTGTAATTCATCTTGCAAATTTAAATTTATTTCATATACAGGGTAAGACACAATTTAATTCTTCAAATTAAAATGCAATAATAAATTGAAAATAATAATAATAATAACTAATATTGGGTTGGATCTTTGATAATCAAATATTATTTTGTAGATTAAATTCAAAATTTAGGCTTTAAGGTCAACTTTTGTTTAATTTTCTTAAATTTATTAGGTTGATATATAGAGTATACCATTAAAATTTCTAAATTAATGAGAGACTAGTCTAGTGCATGTAAGGTGTGCTGAAAACAACCTGTTCGTCAAAAAAAAAAAAAAATAAAAAAAAAAAATCTAGATTTAAACCTGGGTAAGGCAACCATATGACTAAAAATAAGGACGAGAAGAATATCTTGAGGGGTATATAGAGTCTAAAGAGAGGCAAGTGCTATTATCTTCTTTTTACAGTAAACATGCTAATGTCAAAAGATGATGACCTTTTCCTGCGCCACCAAACAGCTCCTATGCATGGAGCATGAGGGTCACATGGATGCCAACTGCCTTTCACATGGACTGTTATATTGGTCAGGGTCTATCCATGTGCCAGAATGTTTATTGCATAAATCTTGCTGTAAATGCAAATATTCCAGTTCAACAATATAAAGTATCTTTTAGCATTTCCTTTTTCTTAATGCATTTTCATCAATCCAAGCAATCTTGTAATGTCTTGAATCCTTTCATTCCCCCCTTTAGCTGGTATTTATAGCATGAGCGAACCTTTACGCATCACACTAAATTTATCTTCTTGATCAACTGCCAGGATGACTGAGTTAATTTAATGAAATTTTTTCATTGCGAGAAATTAATCGGTTTCCTTGTTTGGCAATTTAAGTTTATTCTTTATATTTTGAGATAGGCGTTTTTAGTACATATTGTACTTTTTTGTGTAATTCGTATATTGTATATATATACTAAAATTACTAAAATACCATTAATGAATAAGCATAAATGAAAGCTTATTAAGAATATTTTAATAATTTCAGTATTTAAATTACTCAAAAAGCATAGTCCATACTAAGAAATAAATTTTTGTTATTTTTGATTTTTTTTTTTATTTTGGTTGTACAATAATGAGAAGTGACACTATGCAATTTCTTACCTTACTTCATCTGCATATGATATGACTCAAATTTAAGGTTTTTTACTCTCAGTAAAAAAAAATTAGCACTGAACTATTTAAATTATTAAATTTTTAAAAAAAGTTTTTTAAGTGTTCTCAACTCATAAACTTGTTCTATCTCAACTTGAAAAAATCTATTTATAAACTGAATCAAATAAGTTTTCTAACAAACAAATTATAGAAATATATAAGGAGTATTCCAATCATCGCAAATTATAGATGCATCCTAGTTTCCAGTAAAAAAGAAAAAAAAGAAAAAAACCAAACCATAAAATCACAAACAAAATTCTGACATCTCTAAGCAATTCATCTATTTTAGCAAACTGGGATGAGCTCTCATTGTCTTTTGATGTTTAATTATTGCTCTTAAACACTATTTTGGTTGTTCACACCACTCCCGATAGCCAAAAACAAATCCCGTAACCTTTGCCCTGAGCCATTCGAATGTTCTTTCCCTGTTTCGTTTCCAACATTGCTGCATCAAACGGATCATCATTCCTAAACACATACCCTATGCGATCCCGTATTCCAAATATGTGCCATTTGTTATTCCTCCAACCCCATACATACCAATGATACCAAACCAACGTCTCCCTCCCTTTAAACAGTCACACTTCAATAAAATATATAACCAAATCAAATAGATAATCCATGCTAAAACATGGTTCTAAGAGATGCATGACCACAATCAAGATCTGATTGGCATGAGTACATAACTCTATGAATATTCTCTAAATTTTGATGTATATGATTTATCTTTGATTAATCTGTAAATGTGTATTTGGTTTGCGCAAATTCGACAAGATTCTTATCAGACTACTAAAGCTAAATTTTTATTTGGAATTTTGTGATTGGTGTTTGGGCGCATTTTGTGTAAACTTATATTATCCGATTTTTTGAACCGAACCAAATTAGTTTTGGGTTTGGTTAATTTAAATAATCAGTTAATTCGATAATTACAAAAATTTTCTAAATAACTTTGGTTCAAATGATGGTGAGAGGAAAGAACATTAGATTAACCCAAACGTCTATAAAACCTATTTTTTTTAAAACATATTATTTTGAGTTGAGTAAGGATTCATTTACATACAAATTTTAAAGAATGTTTGGAATTACTTTAAAATGCTTTGGTTGTGAGCTATTTAGTATTTTATTATAAGAAAAATTATATTATTATCTTATAATTATTTTTAAAAAGTCTTATACATTAATAAATGACAATAAAATTATATAAAATACTAATTGAGATTAATTTAATCATTATAAATTAATATTTTATGAAGTCTTGTGGGAAAAAGCACCGTGAAAAAACAACCCCCAATGTTACCTCACATA